GAAAAATTTACCAAATTAGTCCTATTTTCAAATTGTAAGGACTACTATGAATATCATTTTGACTAGTATGGTGGTAATGGAAATTTGGTGGCCTCTAGTTAATTGAATCAGAATATAAGCTTTTCTTGACATAAATAAAGTTGTGCTTATTTTTCCTTGAATTGAATGGTACTCACTCAAAATAAAAGCAAATGAGCTTAATATAGGATATTTTAATTTGTAGGTTATGTTTGGTTTGCGTTTTGTTTTAATCGGAAACAAAATACTTGTTTTATTATAAAGTAATTTGAATAGTAACAAGAAGCATGTTTAATATCGTTTATTTGAAGTAGAAACATGAAAACATATTTGGTAAAAAAGTGTTGCAAGTTTGAAAAATGTAATGATAGTTTAAAAATGTCATTTAAGAGTTTTTCAAATTATAAAAAAAAAAAAAAAGAAAGAAAAAAAAGAAAAAATAGAATTTACTTTTTAGTGTTCATTGAGTACCAGTTATTATAGCGCTGAAACATGTAAAAACATGCAAAATAAAATATTTTTTACCAAGACATGTTCACTGCAAGTACACTATAAAAACAAAAATAGCAAAATTCAAGTGAAAATGTGTTGTCTCTTTTGTCTATTCTTATCTCAGATAAGAATGTGTCTCTTCTTATAGGACTTTTCAAGTACTTCGTAATTTTAAGGTCAAACAGTACTTTGTATAATATATTGTATTTAAATTAATATGAAGACTATATAAAATCCATAATTGAAAATATGTATAATCAACGCAGTCACAAAGCAAAATTAGAAGTGAAATTTTTGCAAGTTAATAACTATAATATAAAAAACCATTAAAATTCAATAACTCATTAAATTTGTAGGTAAATACCATATTTACATTTATATGACAATTTAGTATCTGGCCATTTTCAAATGGATTTCATATATCAGGAGAAATAAAAAGGGTTTCATATCGAATGTATGAAAACATCTTATACCATTATTATTATTATTATTATTTTTCACTTTTAGTAATTCATGGATTATAATCCTTCCAACAAATGTAAAACCCATCATAAAACATTATTATTCATTAAAACACTCCAAATACAATGGATAACAAAATTCTTTATTCTACGGTTATTGCTGCATTATCTAATAGGCCGAAAAATTATCCAAGGCAGACTTGGATGTTTATTTTTCTTGGCTTACCAAGTGGTAGAGCAAAGTAACTAGGAAAAAAAAAAGTGGTAGAGCAAAGTGGGTTGTTCCTTGAAAAGTTCTTACATATCTGATTGGTGGATCATAAACATATGTTTCATACTGCAACATGTCAAATTTCACATCATTGACATCTAGATTTATCTTCTCTTGTTAATTTCTCAGCAAATTTAAGATACGCCGTCGTAATGTATCAGATTGATCTAAATTTCAGAATTCTTTTCTAGCGTAGCAAACAACTCTAAAGGTGCTTTAGGTAATATCAGTTTGACCATCAATGATCACCAACTTGTCTTACCAGCTATGCTTAAGCTGGTAACTCCATAAGCAGGTTCTCACTTGGAAAGAAATAGAAAAGGTAAAATAAATTTCTTACTTTTAAAATAAGAAAAGGAAAAGAAAAACCCATGTTGAATTTTTTTACTATTATTAATAGAGATAACTATACCTATATACTACTCTTAACTTTGGAAGGGATTTCGGTAGAACGATCAAACGGAAGCCAACATTTATTATTATCTGATTTTTTAAATTTATTTTTGGTTCTCCCATTGTTTTGATTTTTAGGTGTGTGTCAACATTCCTCCACTGTCTCATTGTTTTTCTTTGGTCACGCCGCCTCATTCACTTCTTAGTTCTCATCATCGCGGGATCCAATTGTTGATCAATCTTTCTCAAGCAACCTTCGAAGTTTGGTCATCGCCGTCGATCTTTTATTGCGGTCATCGGTGACATCCTCTTTCTCACACTCTCTCCCCTTCTCTCTCACTTCCAGTTCACATATCTCTAAGTCTCACAGTGCGTTTGTGCCTCAAGCACAACCAACAACCACAACGAATCAAGTTTCTTAGTTTTCAACCACGGATTTGTCATCCTTTTCAGTTTCAGTAAGATTCAACCTTCTTTTAATTTCTACGGTTTAGCTTTTGGGTCTATTTCACCCATTTTCCCCTCTAATTTTCTCTCTCTATTTTAGTATTGGATTCGGGAATGTGAAAGTTATTATTGATATTTTTGTAGTATATATAATTCAATGGGGAAAAAAAGGGAAATAAAATTCGACTGGAACCGTGAAACCGAACCAAACCAAACCAAACCGTTTTTTGATTGTTTGGGCTAGTTGGTTCCATGGTTCAAATAGTCTGGTTCGGTTTCAGATTTTCTGGAACCGTAAGGAACGATTTGGTTCCAAAAATTCTCAAAACCGGACCAAACTGAACCGTGTGCACCCCCTACTCACAAGCATAGTTAGGGTTGACGGATAATATATATATATATATATATATATATATATATATATATATATATATAGTGTAAACCTTTGTATCCAACGCTTAATTGATAGTTTTTCCTTTGTAAAGCATTGTAATGAGGCCTTGAAGGTCATAACTTGTACCTATTTTCTTTTGGGGATTACTTTTTTGTGCATTTGGGACATGTATTTGACTTTCAAGGACTATATTAGCACACTTAATAGTTTTAAATGACTTAAATGCATAATGGATTTCCAATTTCTTAGAATGATGAATTTAAATTCGAAGAATGAATGTTATATCATCTTTATGACCATATATGAATGCCTTTGGGACAAGTTTTACATGATTTCGCGACCCCAACCATTTCTGGGCATTTCGGGGTCAATTGGGCATGTTTGGACATCCCATGTTTGACCGGACCTTTTGAAAAACAAGTATTTAGCCTTAAGTGAAATTTTGGGCAGAATCTCGGGGTTTGGGCGACTGGTTGCAGCCTCTGTTCATGCACAACCAGTTTTGTAACTCGAACTTGCATTAGCCATAACTTATTCATTTCAGATTCAAATGGGCTCATTTTAGAGCCCAAATTGAAGGAATTTTCGTTAGATTTCCAATGTTATGTATCTCATTCTCATATTCCATCTACATTGAGATTTATAGCCATTTTAGTGGAGTAGTTTCGGGAAATCTTCCAAACCGAGAAGGGGTATTTGTGGGAAATCATGACTAACTCCCATAGAACCTCTTAAAATATCATGGAGTGACTATAATGGATTGTATACACCTCATTTGACTTACTTATAGTCGCATTATATCCCCTTTGATGCAAAATGACCATTTTACCCTTGTGTGACTAGGGGTTCGAGTAGGGACCCAATTAGCAATCCGGATCCCTGGGTTTGAGTCGTTACAATACTGCAATTCAATCCTCATAATTTGGTTTTAAAATTTTATCAAAACACTCTCCCTCTCCTTTATATATATAAATGTATAAGAATATGCATAATTTCACAAAACATAAAAAATAAAAATAAATAAATAACAAGTTTTTAAAATTTTCATCATATCTCCAAAAAAAAAAAACAAGGAAAAAAAGAAAAAAGAAAAAAGAAATAAAAGAAAAGTGGTGCGTGTCTATTTGCATGGATATGATCAACACTCTTCTGTATGAAATCAACAACAGACTGAATGGGCTCGTCGATTGAGTGACGGGTCTAGAGAACCGAGTTCATCAACTTGAAGAGGAAAGAGAGAGACTGCCACCACAGAAGAGAAACGAGTGGTCTCTCAGGGTGACCTGATGGCAACGACAACGGTGGTGACGCCAAAAATAACGAGAAGAAAAACCCTTTCCATCGACTATTGTAAAGTGATATATTTGTGTATCCCGATTATAATCGGGACTTAATAATGGCAATGATAAAAAGAGTGAGAGTAAGAAAATATAGAATGGTTTGATTATTGTGGTGATGGGAGATATTTCTAGTAATTGAGATTTTTTGCTAATTGGGATTTTGTAAAAATAGTTTTGTCTTTAAAATTTTATCTTTCTAAGTGTAGTACAGTTATAGTGACACATCACCATCGACTTAAGTTTTGGGTCTGAATATTCGGTGCAAGTGTCCTTTTCTTTTATAAAATAGTTCACTAGGGGTAATTTAGTCAACTTAGGGTTTAAATTTGTCAGAGGGACTTATTTGCCCCAAATTGAAACTTTAGGGGTATTTTTTGCACGTGAGGGGTGTCCTCGAATAGTGTCATTTTGGGTGATTTTATAAAATTATTTATTTATATAAATTTTATAAAATGGTGCAGTAAGGGTAATTTAGTCAACTTAGGGTTTAAATTTACCAGAGCGACCTATTTGCACCAAATTAAAACTTTAGGAGTGTTTTTGCACGTGAGAGATGTGATATGCACTGTAAACATACTTTAGGGATGATTTTTGTACTTAACTCTTTTATATAGAGTAAAGAAGATCTAGTTTTTTTTGCAATTAATTACTAAACTGAGTTTAATATATATTTTTTAAATGACCTATAATTTGCTATCCAAAGGATGTCATTGCATAATTGTTTTTGTCCATTTTATGACTTTCTATCAGTTAGGTAATGAACTAGAAGTTGAAGTGATGTAATATTCACAGTACATTCATTTTCACCTAATATTTTTCACTCTCTTGCATGGAGTTTTTAAGTCTAAGTATTATTACTCTTCATGAATACATTAACCTAAGAATAGTAATTTTTTTAATATCGCGGTCTTCATTTGTTAACAGTTTCATCTTTTATAGTTATTTAAAATATTGCTTTATTTACCCAAAAAAAAAAATTTTTGAAAAGGCAAAAAGAAAATACTCCTGACACTTTTGGTGAAAATGATGGCTTAAAGTTAGTTTGCCATTAACGGAAAAATAATAAAATTAGAATTAAAATTACAAAAAAGTGCCAAACAATACGATGTCGTTTTGCTTGCCATTCTCTTGCAAAGTGCCTTCACCATCCACTTCCAACAAAACCCTAATTAAAACCCTGACTCCACTACTTCCACCACCACCATTCTAAAACCCTATTATTTTAACTGTAACCCTAACCTCATTATTTTACGCCCAAATCTATTAAACCGTTTATTTTTATTTTTATTTTTTATGGGCCAAGCCAAGGCCTTATATTGTGCATCGTCAGCCCTCCTCTCTCTCTCTTCGTCCACCCTGAAATTTACAAACCCTAGCTCACTCTAATCGATCGATCGGTTTCATAATTCTTCTAGACCTTGAAGTTGGTAACTTATAGCAGAGGCAGAGAAATAAAAAATTTAAGTTAGGGCAAGTTTTTCAGACGACACAATCTGCTTCGACACTCCGCAGGACGCAGCCTCCGCTATAGCCTCGGGCTCAGGTGACACCGTGACAAGGTATGTTCATCCTCTCTCTCTCTCTCTCTCTCTCTCTCTCTCTCTCATTCTCTCTCTCTCTCTCTCTCTCTCTTCTCACTGCTTTTGCATGAATCGATCTTTTTGTTTTCCTCTCCATAAGTCCACTCCAGTCTCACAACAGCAGCAACCATACCCCTTTTCCTCATAATTTTTTGCATTTTCACATTCAATCCTACTAAAATTAAGGAACCCTTCTAGTGGGTTGAGGACCTGAGGTAATTTCGATCTCTAAATTATGCTCATACTTAAAAGTGCCAAATTAAGGGTTTTTTATTTTATTTTATATGAAGATACATGCCACCATTATTGATGTTATTTGAAGTTGGCTCAGCTAGACTTTCAGTTAATAATACTGTCAAAGGCTCAAAGTACTTGCCATCAGAATGTACAAACACATGGAAATCAAGAGCAGGCTCTAACAAAACAAAAGTTAATGGTTTTTTCTATTAATTTGCAGTAGCAATGATCAATCAATCACTGCTACTAAAGTTGATTCCTCATCCTGAAATCAAGAAAGGGGTAGTTGGCTCCCAAAAAAAACACACAAAAACACACACAAAGCTCCATTGAAAACTCTAGCCAGGAGATCATTCGACCAAACTGCTTGATTTTAGATTTTTTTAATATTATATTTATGGTTTGATCGGCAATGCTTAGTTATTATTGTTTCTGTTTGATTCTCCATCCGTTTTATGTTAATTGTGATCTTCTTTCACATGCTAGCAGGACACTCTTCCTAGGATAACATTTACTTTGATAATTTTGATTTTTGTGACTAAGTTGTGTTGAATATTTCCTTTTGATTTTTTTATGTAAAATGGATCGTACTCTTTTTAAAGCACCAAGACCAGATTTTCTTTTGTGTGTTTTCAACATTAATATATTTTATGTTCTTATCATCTCATATTAATGAAAATTCCTCATTCTTATAAATTTTTTGTGCCTGTGAAAATTTCGCACTCTTTAATTGATAGATTTATTGTTATTAGTTACCTGTCTTATGCACACTGCATAGGTGCGCAATTATTTATTGGTGGTGATAGATTTATAGTTATTAGTTAGTTGTCTTAGGCAAACTGCACAGGTGCACAATTATTTATTGGTGGTGATAGATTTATAGTTATTAGTTAGTTGTCTTAGGCAAACTGCACAGGTGCACAATTATTTATTGGTGGTGATAAAAATTTATAGTTATTAGCTAGTTGTCTTAAGCACACTGCACATGTGCACAATTATTTATTAGTTAGTTGTCTTATGCACACTGTACAGGCGCACAATTATTTGCTGGTGGTGATAAATTTATAGTTTTTAGTTGTCTTATGCATAATGCCCAGGCACACAATTATATTAGCTATAAAATTTGAAAACATCGTGTGAAAATTCCGCACTCTTATATTTTTTTTTTGCGCATGTGAAACTTAAGGGCCCCACATTTGAAAGTTCGCCTAGGGCCTCTCATAGCCTCTCATAATATTTGAAATCTCAGGGCTGGGCCTGTATGAATGTGTCCGTTTGGTTGCTGAGAAAAATTCCAACATAAAAAAAAAAATGGATTCCGAGGATCGTTTTTTTCCCCTTTTGTTCCAATTTAATTTGGGGAATTGTTGTTGAGGATATTAGCTTTTGATTTCCTGTGCTTTTGTAGTTAATTAATTATATATATACATACATATATACATACATACATATATATATATATATATGTATATATATAGAGAGAGACAGACGTATATACATACATATATATATGTATGCTGTTAATTTTTTAGTATATTTGAGTTTGGTTTTAATTGTGTTTTCTAAATGTTGTGTGTGATTTTGATTTTTTTCTGGTTCAATTATGTTCAGTGAATGGGTTTCAGTTTTACAATCTTTTACATGTGTTTTTGAGGACCCAAATATAGTTTTGTTCGTCTGAAAGGAGTACCTGAGCAAATTTTCGTTCTGTGTTCGACTAAAGTCCCCAGCAGAAGCATAATTCATTCCATGATTCCTATGTGGGAAGGTGGGACTTGGGAGGGCTAAAAGAGAGAGGAACAGTTGGGGACCCAATTTAAGCTAAAGGGTTTTCCTTGTTTTTTAGGACCCAATTTTTCTCTCTCTCTCTTGCAGTTATGAAAATCTTGCTGAATATAAGACCATATCTTTGTAGCGCTGGGAGAAGACTACGTGCGATGAATTTAACCTTTGAAACCTGCATCCTCATGCTTGTCAGCTTGAGATTTTACTGTTGTGCCAAAACAATGACACTTTGGAAAGGCCTTTTCTTCTGATGTTCTAGTTAACTTCAATTTGATTCTCCAATTGGTGGCGGCATTGCGAAAAATGATCTATTCTTGATGTTGCTTATCTTAGGGCTGAAGATGTTCTTGTGCTTCCCTAGTTTTTAGTTGCCTCTCTGGTTTTTTAATGTGTATTGGAAATGAATGTTTTCCATTTCTTTTATCTTTTCTCTGAGGATATGGGCTCTATCTTCTCGTGTACTCAATTGCTTTGTTCTTAGTAAAAATCATATAGTTTTTAGTAAAAAATTTCTGTGGGGTGCTACTAGAAATATATTATCTAAATCCTTTTGGTTAACTGTAGTTCAATCGCAAGACTAGCATAGACATTATTATTATTATTTTTATTTGGTTTTTTATCAAGGTTATTTGCCTGTGCTATCTAGATTGATTACTGATTGAATCGTGTTCGAACCTGAGAGAGATTATTTTATTGTGCTTCTATAACTGATCACCTCCAGTTCTTTTGTTTCAGTGTTGGGGCTTAATTGAAGCTACAGTGTAGACCTTTCTCTGTTGGATAAGAATCTTGGACTTCAATCGCTCTGATTCTCCATTTTTCTTGTTTGGGAATTCTGGTTTCCTTTTTTCCCATCATGGTTGCTATAAGAACCTGAGAAGCAATTCCAGACATGGGTCAAGAAGCTCAAACCTGAATTCACTCCAATTGACGAAGTCTTGCGTGCCCAATTGGACCTCGATCTCGTGGACACCGTTCTTTCTTAGTTTGTTCCAACCAATTCTTTCAGGCCATCCTCATCTTCTTCGGTGACTTTTTCTTTGGGGAGCAACCATCAAATCGTAAAAAGGGTGCCATAGAGATTTGACTGATCTCAAAGGTGTTGAAGACAAGAAAGGCTGTGATTGGTTAGTACTGGCAGAGGACGTACGGAAATCAGTAATTCGACTTACATCTGTTGTCCTCTTTCAAAAGGTTTCTCTCATCTTCATCCAAGTGTTTGGGTATCTTCGTTGCAAAAGTTTCCACTTTTGTTTTCTCTCTAAAAATTCTTTTATACATATATGTTCACCACTTGTTTGTAGATAGTCTGTGAGAGCTTTTATCTGCTTTGAAAGACCATTATCTAATTTGTTATATAGCTTCAGATTTTCACTTATTCTTATTGAAGTACATGGTTTTCATCCTTGTTCTTTTATGCAGGTATAGGAATGGTGGGATTATCTGCTGGAGAAAAGCATTTCATACAGGGTGGCATTGCTCAAGACCTTCGCTCTGATGGTCGAAAAAGATTAACTTACCGACCCATTTATGTTGAAACTGGAGTCATCCCTCAGGTAGATTATATTCTTATTTATATCAGTTACTATCTTACACTTGCTTTAGTTTGAACTTGTATTGTGCAGCTGACTGACTTGGAATTTTTAGTTGCTTTTATGCATTATTAAGTTATTATCGGCCTCTTGACAGGCTAATGGGTCTGCAAGAGTCAAAATGGGTGCAACGGATGTTATCGCTAGTGTGAAGGTATTTCATGGTCTTTGTTCACTCACTCATTTATAAATGTTTTCAGAAGTTTTGTACATGTGAACTGTCTCATTTTCTCCTGGAGTGAAGCTTGAATGAGTTTGTTATTATGTGGATAATGATGTACAACTGCAGGCTGAAATTGGAAAACCAGGTCCAACACAACCTGATAAAGGAAAGGTTTCCATATATATTGATTGCAGTCCAACGGCAGCACCAGTGTTTGAGGTTGGTTACCTTGATTCTACTGTTCTCTCATTACTCTGTGTTTTACCAATTGGGTCAATAGAACTTTTTGGTTTTAGCATGATCCATGTTCTCAAAATGACAACCATTATTGTCAAATTAGGATTTGTAATGTGTATTATCCTATTTTAAATCGTAGTAAATTGTATCTAGAACCTTTAGGTACTTTGACAATTTTAATATAGAAAATAATAGCCATATAAATATATATAAACGAAAAATATGTTCTACTATACATGATATAGTAATGTATGAGATATTTAATGATTTGCTTATGTCATTGAATAGTTAAGGTGCTTAACTTACCATCATCCTCATTGATAACGTCATTAAAAAGAAATGTGAACATAATCATAATGATTAGAAGGAAGTTTATGACTTCATGGCTCATATTATTTGCCAAGTAATTTCATCAGCTTAGTGGGACTTAAGGCTTTTCATAAAAATCAAAGTCAAAGCATGGTTATAGACGACTGTGCAATTACTTTGAGTGGTGGAATCCCATTGTTTACCATCTTTGTCAGTTTTATTATTATTTTTTTTAGCATCTTTTTTACTTTTGGTTACTATTAACTCTTCTGTATATAATATGTATTTTCTCTGGGTTTGCCACAATATTTACTAAGCTAGTCCTATTTATCTTATTCTATACAGGGAAGAGGAGGTGAGGAATTATCAACAGAACTCTCAGCATCTCTTCAGCGATGTCTCTTGGGTGGTAAAAGTGGAGCAGGTATAACTCTCAATAAATCAAGAGAAGTTTCTGTAACTTTTATGTCATATATTTAAATTACTAGGAATTTACACATTTATGAACTTTCTCAGGAGCAGGAATTGATCTCTCATCGCTGTCAGTTGTGGAAGGAAAAGTTTGTTGGGATCTTTATATTGATGGCCTTGTGGTTAGTTCAGATGGGAATATTCTAGATGCATTAGGGGCTGCTGTCAAGGTATTTTCTTATTTGTTTTAGTATTTTGAGCACAGGTGAGAGGCCTGTCGGATTTTGATATACTGCTGACCGTTTCCCTAACCTCTGCTTTATCCGGATTCAACTGGAGACTGTTTAACGCGGCTCTTTTTAGCATGTTGTTGTTATGATGACAACATAAATGTTTCATTGTCAATATATGATATTCATTTGGCGCATTTGGTCCATGGTATAAATAGATTTTAATTTAAATTTTCTATTAGGCTGCTTTGAGCAATACTGGCATCCCAAAAGTTAATGTTGCTGGCAGCGTCTCTGCTGATGAACCAGAGATTGATGTAAGTGATGAGGAATTCTTACAATTCGACACATCTGGGGTCCCTGTGATAGTTACGTTAACAAAGGTGACAATCCCATTCACTTTACCGCCCCCCTTTTTGGAAAAACTAAATATGTTATTTATTTTGTTATATTCTGCCCTTTCCTTTTTTAGGTTGGCAGGCACTATATTGTAGATGCAACTTCAGAAGAGGAATCCCAAATGAGCTCTGCAGTCTCTGTTTCTATAAATAGGCAAGGCCGCATATGTGGGCTGACCAAACGAGGGGGTGCAGGCCTAGATCCAAGTGTCATTCTTGACATGATATCCGTAGCTAAACATGTAAGCGAGCAGCTAATAAACAAATTGGACTCTGAGATATCTGCTGCTGAAGCTTGTGAAGATGAATCATGACACAAGTTTTTCCAATATTATCACATTTTGTATTATTTTATTTAGAGTGGACGCTGTTGTTATATGCCAATGTAGCTTGATGACTTACTGAATTCTTTGTCAAAATGACTTGGCTGAATAGTGGATACAAATAGTATATTTTAATGTATTGTACTACAATTTGGCAGTGTTAACCAAAGTCTGCATGAATGTTTTAAGAGTATTTGATTTGATATCTGAACAAGTCATTTGGAGGTGTGTCTATGGAAACTCTTAAAGAATACATTGAGTCTCAACTATTTTGGGGATTTCCTTTACCCATCTTATTTTTAGGGATGGCAACCGGTGATTTTGGACCGGTGTATCCTCCCCCGCCTCCGTAACAGTTTAGAAACATTTATTTCATTTTCGTCCAAAACTGTCTAAACGGGGAGGTTTTTCCACCACAGTTCCATCCCGCTTAACTTTTTCACCCTGGCAGACACCTGCCCCACCTCGTTTAATTACAAAATTTCTTTCTTTTTTAATTTTTTTCTTCAAATACAATTATATAACTATTTGAAAAAAATCACTAAAAATGGGCAATCAATATTTTAACATAAATATTCAAGGGTATGAGCATTCTTAGGACTTTGCTGCTTTCTAGAACGGTTGAGAAAATGAGTAAATGTGACTTAAGGTTTATAGAGCTAACTGTATGTAATAATAGAGATAACTATATATACTAATAAAATAAGAGTAATTTAATAATTTATCTACTTAAAAGGGGCGAGACGAGCGCGATGTGACCATCATCTCCGCTTAAATAAGTTAAATGGTCTTCCAAAACCGTTATAAACGAGACAAATACCTGTCCCTGCGGGGCAAATTGTCATCCCTACTTATTTTGATTAACTTGGTTTAAAAGAGGGAGAATAGAACTTGGTCAAGACTATCTACCTTGTCCACCAATCATTGTTCAATGAACGAACATTTTCTTTGGCGAAATAAAAACAATTTGAAGAAAGATGCATATAAAGGTCAAGTAGAAGTTACGAGTCCAAAACTAAAATGTGAAGTTGGTTTCAGGAATAAAGAACTTGATGGTTTGCCAAATTCACAAAAACAAGTTTGGTTTAGTTCTTAGGTTCAGTTCTCATACACCAATAAAGAGTTGAGGGAACGAATACCCTCATTTGTAAACTGGCTTGATAATTTTCCTATGCAATGAAGAAAGATACATCAATTTATGATGAGAGTAAAATATGTCCAAACTCAAAACTACTCGTATTCGTCCATGCCCTAACAGTTTATGCACAAAACCTTCGCCAGCTGATAACGGGCAACCAGCAAACCCTAGATCGAGGGAGAAGTTAATGACATAATGAGCAGAGACCGATATTTGAATCATTGATAAAATCTGAATTGAGAATTGCACATCAAAGCTTATAAACTGACAAAGAGAATGAATTTGACTGCATGATCGAATGACACTTAAAAAATGTATATACACCCAAAAAAAAAAAAAAAAATTTAATTAACAGGTGTTGAAGAACTGGATATCTGATTCCTTACATGAAACACGGACAATTTAATTGTAGAAAAATGGAATAAACCGATTTATTGTTCACAATGTAGGCTTACCAAGCTTTAAATCTCGTACAACTCGCAAAAAGATTTATATAAAAATAAGAAAAAAGACAACCGAGATAGGTTGTCCTCAATGGTATACAAATTCACAACAGTGAGACCATGGGGTCGAGGACACAGCAACAGTAAACAAATCAGGAGAATGAATACACAAAGCTACAAGCCACTTTCCAGAAAATTGCAGCTGATGATCGGAAAAAAGCATCGAATAGAGACAAGACCAGGAACTGTGCATCACCGAGGGATTTTAAAGTAACACCAGAAGCACGGACCAATTTCTTTACCTCGTGACACGACAAGCTACCTTTCCCAATTCTAGTGCAAGGACATGACCCTATCTTATCGATAGCCACCACCATATGGTTGTTGAGCATAACCACCCGTTCCCATCATGGGATTATAACCACCAGCCATAGTAGATCCAGGAGGGAATCCAGTTGGTTGCTGCATTCGAACGCCTTGCCCCATACCCATGTTCATTCCCATGCCATTGTTCACAGGCATGTTCATTCCAATTCCCATACCCATTGGTTGATTTACCCCTCCATAGCCTCCCATGCCCATGCCTAAACCAGGTCCGCCTCCCATGCCCATGCCTAAACCAGGTCCGCCACCCATGGCCATGCCCGCACCAGGTCCGCCGCCCATGCCCATACCCATGCCTGCACCAGGTCCGCCGCCCATGCCCATGCCAGCACCAGGTCCCATGCCCATGCCTGCACCAGGTCCACCGCCCATACCCATGCCTATACCAGAACCCATCATAGCGTTTGGCGGTGCCCTCAGGGCACCTGCACCAGCTCGGCCGATCCCAGAACCAGATCCCATAGCTTTACCCATGTTAATAGTAGATGTCACAGGAGCTGCAGAAGGTTTTTCCATCCTCTTCTCCTTCCGATTTATGGCATCAAAATCAATTCCAATATCCGACAATGGATTTATTTTAGCTGCATATGAAGAAATAAGAAATGTAAATCCCACGGTAAACGCAGAATCAAACTATAAAAGAGACCCATTAAACATTTCCAAAAAAAAAAGTCAAAAAGCCCAAGTCGAGAGCCATGAGGACTCACCTCCAGATATATTCAAATCTACTAGTCCTCTGCTCAGAGTATCAGCCCAAACTGTAGACTTTGTCTCAAACTTGTTCTTCTCTGGTTGAGGAACTATAGCGAGTGCTCCTGCTGAAGCCGAGGGAGCTGGCTGTGTTGCCATAGAAGTGGTAGGTTGTGCTTGTGGAAGTAAGTTACCCAGAAACTCACTGTTATTCTGTGAAACTGGTCTAGTGGGAGTTTGAAGAGCCTGTGAACCTGCTGTGGATGCAAACCCTGACTGTGGAAAGATATTCGCAGGGTTCTGCTGCATAGCTGGTCCAGCTGGAGTTTGATAAGCCATGTGTGGAGCAACTGGAGCTGTAGAACCAGACTGTGGGTGGAAGCTCCCATAGGAACTAGCACTTGGCTGTGTAGGTTGGCCATTGAGGGTGGGAAAACCAGTCTGTGATGCAGGACCAACTTGACTGGGAAAACCTGTCAGGGATGAAGGTTGGCCGTTTTGAGCTGGAAAACCCGCCTGCGGTGGAGGTTGGCCAGTTAGAGGTGTAAAACCTGCCATTGATGCAGGATGACCGGTTTGAGGAGGAAAGCCACTCTGAGATACAGCTTGGCCAGATTGAGCTGGAAAACCAGCCAGGGACAAAGGTTGCGCATTTTGAGCTGAAAAACCCATCTGTGATGCAGGTTGTCCGGTTGGAGCAGGAAAACCCGGCTGTGATGCAGGCTGGCCAGTTGGAGCATGAAACCCATATGACACAGGTTGGCCAGTTGGAGCAGGAAAACTGGACTGTGAGGCTGAGGAAGGTCCAGAAGGTGGGAGAATATCTGCCAAAATATCAGTGTTCTGGTCGTAAACTGACAAATCTTGAGGTGAAAATTGTGGGTTTGTTGAAGGAGCTTGAACAATGGAGACATCGGATGAGGTGTACGTTACACCAGAAAGTGTCTCTCCAAAGTTAATATTATTGACTGTGTCCACCTTTTGAGCAACCGGTTGGGGTGTTTCAAAACTTTGATTTGTGCCAGGAAGAAAGGAAGACACGGCACCAACATTCTGTGGTTGTGCTGAAACACCATTTGAAGAAGGAATAGCTTTGAAAGGACCATCGCCAAATGGATCTTCGAAAGGCTGCACAGAAGAAATATTTATACCCCAGAAAATATAATCTACTTATGATTACAAGTAAAAATTTGAGAAAGAGGAGGGTAAGAATAACATCTCCTATCATAGAGATTAAGCAAGAAATATCATTGAGATTTCAGTTTTAAAATGACTATAACTATGAAAATTATCCATAATAGCTTAAAGCATTCAGATGCCCCATTTTGGTCTATGACGCAACCCATCAGTACAGATTCGGGCATCCAATAGAAATGGAATCACTTGATAATATTTTTAAACAGCATTTAAGTTAGAATATAATTTACTTATTACGAAAATTTGAACTTAGCAATTCTCCTTGCATGTACAGGACATTACTTTTGGGATTCATTAAATCACTTTGTTTCAACTTCCAGTGTGCTGTATTCCATTTATTGATGGTACAATTAAATTCATTTATGTTATGTTCGGTTGCATGGAATTGATGCCTTGGAATTGGAATTGCAGAAAAATTAGTTCAAACTTAAAAATAATTTTTCTCCAATTCCAATTTCAAGGCACCAATTCCATGCAACCGAACATAGCATTTAAAAATTCTATGAGATAAAAATGGAAGAATTCCAATTCTGGGGACACAAAAATGGGCCCTTAGAGATCAATATTAAAGTTGGACAAGAGCTGCTGACACTGCAATCAAAGTATTATTGTACATGGAAAGCTTCATTTTTGAAGAGAACAAAAAGCTCCCTGCAGTAAAGCACATAATGTTTTTCTTATTAACTCAATTTAAGGAAATTGGATTTTGAAAATCCCTACATCAACAACATCATGCTCACCTGATTTGAGACAGTGGATACTGATGGGGTTGCTAAAAATGTTGGTCCAGATCCAAAGCTTGGAGCAGCATCAGCTTCGGAAGTTGTGGTTGCAGATGTAACTGGTATAATAGCCAATGAGTTGGAAGAAAATGATTCTGACAGAGAACCAAGCAAGTCCATCTCAGCACCATTTGAGGTAGTTGGGCCAGCTGACCAAGGCAGAAGTCAAAGTATGAGTGTTCAATTATGATGGATGTACAAAGAGCAGTAAGAGAACAACCCCAGCCCCCCAAGTCCTGGCTCCTCCACAACTGTTTTCCAAAATGTTGCCAATCACCGTGCATGATTAGTACAGAAGTTCAACACTATCACAGTATCACCTAATCAAAGTACTAAGATACGATTTCACACGATAGATGTTGACTAAAGAGGTAACACAGCAACTTGGAGCTCTGTGGCAAGCTTAGAAAATGAGAAAAGAGACGTAAGAAGATGACATCAGAAATCATCTCAAAAGCAAGAAACTATCTTGCTATAAGTGATAAGCAGTAACCCTGTGCATCGTATCATCATAACTGATTACAAAGCTAACTAGTACATCAAGGGTATCAAATTTTATCTTGAATTGATGTTACTAACCATCCTATTTTAATTCAATCGGTGATTTAAATTGAAAAGGGGGAAAAAAGTTGCAATGAATAGTATTTTTAAGAAATCTACTGACGCATGGCAAATAATGGAGATGGAGGATGCCGGGTGGACCCATGTGAGATGAGAAGCCTTCAAAAATGATGCAGAGGGGAAAGGGGAGAGGGGATTTGGGCACATAGCTGGCCTCCTAGGCTGGCTATAGCAAGGGAAGCTCCACGTTCCATATGAACATGATATTAAGGTTCCTCAAGTTCTAAATCCTGCTAATCTTAATTAGAATTCATATATATATATATATATATAACCACCTAAACCTCCTTATGACCAAAAAAAATAAATAAATAACATCCTCCTAGCTCAAATGTACTAGTGGGTGGACTGCTAACTGTTGCTCGGTCAAAACTGCAAAGTCAATGTTACACGTGAGTTAAAATTGGACGAGGATAATACATTTCCCAACATAATTAGCAGAATTCATTTTCGTAGAGCCTCTCAGACAATGGCCAAAAAAAACCTCAGCATAATGTTACGAGTCTAGCAAACAGACGCTTCATTTAATGACAAAAACAGAAAAAAAAAAAAAAAAAAAAAAAAAAACAAACAAACAAAAAAAAACGAAAAAGAACTACAATGAAGATTTCTTTATATAACACCTAAACCCAATGTAGGATACAATTCTCTCTTTACTGTATCATATTAAATATAAGTTAAAATGTCACAGCACATATAATTAAATATCTCTTGCATCATCCAACTTACAAACCTACCATAAATAAAAACTTTATTTGCAAGATTGTAATCCATATCTGACGCAGTGGAACTAATAGATAACCATGTAAGACACTGGCCAAAACACACGTGCCCATTTTTATTTTAAGGATGCCATGCCGGGCACTGTATCGAAGTCAGGGCTAAGAACAAAAGGCAAAAACAGTTTTTAATCTCACCAGTCGCAGCAAATACTGCTCAATTTTCCAAGTATTTGAGCGAGCACCAAAAGAGCCTACGAAAAGGAAGGTAATAATCGGTTTCTACTCTGTTTTCCCTTTCCTTATAATAGCAGGTGATAACAATTACCATCTATGGACAGAGCCAGAAAAATGGAATTGGTCAAAAATAAAATAAAAAATTCACGTATGTGTATATATAACTAAATAAATTTTTTTTAAAAAAAAACCATGATACAGATGAATAAATGAAAGAACTAGGAAAAAATGAAAAATAAATACATGAAAGAAGAAATTTCATATGACTACTCACAAACAGACAACCCTCTTCCCCAACCAAACGCAACGAGATCTCACAATGTGAAGTAATGAAGTTAAGTTATTATCAACAAAATAATAATAGTAAAATAAATACAACAGTTGGCATTCCAGCATAAACAGTCCTCTTACCTGAAAATGAACCACGTGGATCAAATTCATCAAAGCCATCAACTTCCTTGTTTGCAGGAGCAGGAGCAGGAGCAGGAGCAGGAGCTGAAGCCACAGAAGTGCTAGGAGTAGTTGTTGCTTGATTTAGATTTTCGTTTGCTGTAGGAGAAGATGTTTTGGAAGCCGATGCTGCAGAAGTTTCTCCATCCCTAGCAATAATAAACTTACCACTAATTAACCGAAACAACCAGGAATTTCGGGTGCAAGAATATGATACGTGGTACCATTACCTTTCATTGCGAACAGGGCTATGAGCATCACCTACAGCTTCTTCATAACTAGGAGGACCACCAAGATTTTGTTCAGAAAATTTCCTTTCAAGCCGCCTGTCCACAGAACAGGAATATGCAAAATTATAGTTGGGAATGGACGAATTGTGCATGGTCCTTTTTTCTACAAAACTTTAGCTGAAAAGTATCCATCAACGCTAACTTTTCTGAAACAGATCAGAACAATTACCTCCCATCCTGAGACTGATCATCAGGTTTTGCACCACTTCCTCTGCAGCAAGAAAAGCCTACAGTTAACCACATCTTCAAGATCAAGGTCCTCTTAAAGCATAATCATCATGCTTTACATGTCGAAGATATATACAAGTTAATTGATCAATAATTCTCACTGTTCGAAACATTTTATTAGTACTATACCAGCGCTAGAGTTTTAGTCCCGTGATAATATTCTTTCATGGAGTTCTAAGTAGACTTTGCAAAACAATATGTCCTTTCTCTTTTTCTTTCTTTATTTTGTTCCATTGGTTTTCTTACGTGTTGCAAGAAACCTCCAACTTGTAGAATTTCTATATCTGATAATTTCTCATTAAAAATAAACATGTAAATTAGAGGAACAAGTTAGCAGTTCTTAGTAATAAGTTCATGACGAAGGTAAACCACCTCTAATGATATAACATGAAGTACACATACCTAGATGAATACTGACCATCATCTTCATAAGCACGGTCCCTATCTCTATCAGAGCTTCTACTTCTCGAGCCATACTGGTAATCATCAATGGTTTGACTTCTTCCACGCATATCATCATTATAACCATAGCGTTCTTCAGAATCTCTGCTATAACGATCTCCATCACCATATCTACCATATCGGTCATCATCCCTATTGCCCCATTCTCTTTCTTTCCCATAACCATTCCGATCTTCATCTCTGCTTCCATAACGATCATCATCATATCCTCCAGAACCCGGCCTATACATACCACCGGCTGATGCAGTGTTGCGAAACCTAATTGAGATATATACTCTATCAAAAACCTCATGTGGAAAATTTTATACAAGGGCGTCTATAAAAAATTATATTTATATTAGTCATTTATTCACATAGTGTTCTTGCATCTTAAAAAAAAAAATAGTCACTAAACAGAAATGCAAGCTCAAAACACATGCAAAAAAAAAAACTTACAGTTGGATTATGACATGATGCACAAAACATGGTATGAAACCAATCTAACTTTCAAGAAATTTAGTACAATAGGTCGACATATTCTTTTTCAGGGATTGGGGGATGGGGAAGAAATGGAAAAAGGAAAGTGCAGCTTTCTTAGGTTAAATTTAAGATGAAAACTTCAGGATGCCATCAACAGAATCAAATTCCAAAGTCAAATACAAAAATGTCTCTGAAGTGCGTGTAACAGGCAGATACAGAAAACAAAGTGGAAATTTAATAAGAAAGTACAAAAACAAGCTAAAATTTCAGAACCTTGAAATTAATATATATATATATATACATATTCAAAAACAAGCACATATATATACACAAACACAAGAAGAAAATGAGAATGCTGAGAAAATATTAAAAAATCAGGGGCAGAATACAGATGAGTTTTAAGATGGCCTAATAATAAAATAATTAGAAAATAAACCTTTCCTTATAAGATGGTCTTACTTTAAATGATTGCCTCGTAATAAGATCAATAAAAAAAGAATTCCCTTATAAGAGGGTTTCAGTCTCAATAGAAAAATGAAAAGCTAAAGATGGAACTGATTATGAGAGATTTGTTTACTACCAGACTACCACACGATAGAAGAAAACATACAAGAACATGACTACAGGCTGAGATCACACTGTAATAGCAGATAGTTCTCTTTATGAAATTACTTGGAAAGAGGGAATATCTCAATGACTTTTAAATTGCTGGAGTAAAGCATTGTTAATGCTGATAATGATAACAAATGTATCAACCAAATTAGAGGATACATGCAAAACTGACAAAATCAATAAACATGAAACTATTTCAGCCAACACTTTTAAAGCACAGACTCACTTGTCCCTGTTAGCAGCAGCTTTTTGTCGGACTTCTTGTATCCTTTCTTTATCATTAACTAGAATTACAAGACTTTGAGATTTCTTTCTGACATTGCTTCCTTGATCCCTTCCACTGGAGTCAATATATTGAAAATCAGACAATGTCTGCAACAAGAGAGAAACATTCTAATAACTAACATAATAATCCAAACCAAACCACTTAAAGGTAATTAAAAGTTTCAGAGAACACACAATCAAAATTGCAAGTGTCATATAGCTTTAAGGAAAAAAAAAGGTTACTGATATTTGGTATGCATGCTCCTTGATCTCATCTATGACACGCTCTGATCCATGGGCTACCAAGTATTCCAAAACAGTTAAAGCCTGAATCATGGTACAAGGAATTCGTCAATTGAACTGTTAAAGCAAAACCTAGAAAAGGAAATCAGCACTTAGAAAAAGATAATAAGACTTGAGATGAAGACAAAAGGCCAAACTCAGCATAAAATAAAAGAGAAACACTAATAACTAAAAAAAATGTAGGAATGAATTTTATGAAGGGGATGATTTCACAATAATAGAACACATGAAAGATCATAGTTCGAGAGAGAGAATTTTACGAAGGGGATGATTTCACACTTATAGATCACATGAAAGATCATAGTTTGAGAGACAGAGAAACTTCAAACAATCCCAGGAACCTAGCATAAGAATCCTCCAAAAATAGCATTTCATACAACATAAAAAAGGCAAACCTTGTACACATGACGCCAATTCTTGCCAGTATCATTAATACGCTTCCAGATAACTGCCATGATCATCTGATACTCATGACTGCATCAATGATTCAAAATGAACCCTTTTAGAGAGGGGAGAAGGGGGGGAGGAGGGGGGGGGGGGGGGGGGGGGGGGGGGGGGGGATGTGTGGAAGTATTTTGTGAAAGAGTTATTTCAGCTTACTAGTTTCTGCTAGCCTGTGCAATATCAGCAAGATGTGATCCGTGAGGACCCCAGGGTTCATTACTAGTTGCGTCAAGAACCTGAAAAATAAGAGAACCAAAAGTACTTATAATAAGATGTTTCACAATCATCTTTTTTTCCCCCTAGTTGGCACTGACAAACCCCCTCCAAGAAATTGTTTGCACCCAAGAGGAGTCGAACCTTAGACCTGGTGCTTCATGAGGCACCAAAGCCAAGTGACTTGCCCACTTGAGCCAACCCCTTGGGGTCTGTTTCACAATCATATGGTATTGCATTTCAGACCATCCAATAACCATTTCAAGAGTTAATAGAGAGGAGCTAATAAGCTCACAAGAACCACCCTGATCGGTCACTTCTTCCTATGTTGAACAACCAAGTTAATCCAAATAAGAAATAAGCAGCAGACTTGGGCAGTCATTTGATACTGTACAGATGGAATTCGCTTGTTCATATTCACCCTAGGCATTGAATGCTACTGCTGGATGCTTGAATGGGGTTCTATAAATTAAGTAACCCATTCCATGCCTTCCCATTTTACTTCCATCAATGTTGCAGTCAACGCCAATAAACCAGGTTTCGGCCACAAGCCATAACTGCTGCATAAGAAAACTAGTCCCTGACGCCCCTTGATAAGGCTTTACATCCAAAAGCTATATGAGAAACTTAGAAATACAAGAAAGATGAGTTTTACAGCCAAAATTCAAATGAGTGCACTTAGAAAAAGAGCAAAACTTCTATCACGGGGACTCCCATAAAGACATTTCATACTTGGAGACATTAGTAAAACGATTGAAATCAACAATGAAATATACTAAAATTACTTTTTTATATGTATTAAAATTAAAATGAATATTGTAGAGCTTATGGTGTCATTTGTTACAATTATACAAGCATAACAGCTATACATCTAGGACAGAGCCACGTTAGTCTTAGTTCAGTATCTGACAAATAAACGTATTGGACACGGAAAGGAAAGGAAATCAGAAATTCCTCCTTATGAAGTGTACTCTGACAAAAAAAATCATTAAAAATGCAGTTACTTGTTCCAAATCTTACACCCAACCCTCCAGAAAAGATTCTAAAACAGGAAATGTCTGTTGTATTCTTCCAGAATAACAAATGTGTCATTGTGCACGTGTGGATACATTTGTTTAACATGGTATCCCAAGCAACAACGTTTTCTTGTACATTCCAAACTGGACAGAAAGCTTACTGGCATTATAAAAAAATAAAAATAAAAAAAATTACCTTCTGCTCTATTCCAGGAACTTTTAGAACTTTTTTATTCACCCCTCTCTTGCTGCAAGAAAAAAGAAAAGGTCATACTTGTGAGGATGCTACAGATCGACTGAACAGCTTATTAATACATATGTAAGCATGATACAAATGAAAAAGACGATGATAGATTGGATATTCCTGCACTACAATAATGAAACAAATACTTATCAAAAATTAATAATAATAATGAAACAAGTAAAAAAAAATGTAATAAAATTTCTTCCCAAAACAATCATGCTAATTGTACTTCAATATGGGACTTTCAGAAAACAAATCAAACTTACATGTCCCGGACCGTTTGATCAAACGCCTTCTTCATTGTAACTTGAATGCAAAATTGTATTAAGCTGAAACACACTTCACTTTATTTCGAGGACTGCCACAAGGAAGACAATGGTAACACAATTATGCCACAAAATCAGGTGCTTACGGTCAACAACCAAATAAGACAAATTCTAGCAGTCATATTATGAGAGAATTTCAACCATGATTTTTTTAATTTAAAAAGAAAAAAATACACACAGTAAGAAAATAAAATAAAAATCAAAGTTAGCCACAAAACTTTTGGGGCACTCTTAAATGAACTGAAGGGAGAAATTAAATATCTCCCCCAAAAAATTGGCATATCCTAAAACATGCAGATGAAGGTGTATCATCATTCACCACATAAAAGTTTTAGCCTTTCTCCAACAGCTTAAAATTCAATACATCCAAATTTCAGTTAAATTTAGACAAACAAAAATAGGTAAATAAATAAAATTTGATCAGGAAACAATACCTGAAAGAATAGCAATGCTACAACAATAATATGTGAACTTTAGATCTTTCCCGCCGTTTAAACCTAATCAAAAGACAACATTGGCAAGCATAAAAGTAAGAAAGAAATAACATTTTGCATCAGAAATCTACAGACACATCAAAATCTAATTAAACAGAAATCCAAAACACTACATCCAACAACCCTAATTCCGATCACATATGATGAAACCAAAATTGCACACAAGAATAATATGAAAAAGAAAAAAAATCGAATCAACGAATGCAAGCGGCCACAGAATGACAGTACATGATCGAGCTATAAAACACAAACCACAACCAAAGGTCCAAAACCCTAAATGACAGAAAGACCGAGCTAAATATATGTATACAGACACAATCAAAAAATGGGAAATTTAAGTCAAAATAGATCTGAAAAACAGATCAACCAGCATAATTCAGGAAAATAGAAGCAAACCCAGATCGAATATTGAGAAGAAGAGATCGAACCTGATCGAATTGACCCAATATCAGGAGGCAAAGAGGGCGTCGAAGACCCACCGTATCTCAGAGGGGTGGCAGTTGATACTTGCGGGTAGAGAGAGACACAGAGGAGAGAGAGAGAGGGGGGGGGGGGATGAGCGAGGAGCTGAAATTGTGATGAAATCCTAAAATTGAAATTAAGCTGTAATAGTTGCAGAGAGAAGATGGAAAGGGGGAGGATGGGAGTTCCGGTCTTGTTTTCTCTCTCTAGAATTCCGCGGAGAGAGAGGAAATGAAAAGCGAGGAAGACAGCGCACCTTGCACGCAGGAATTTATGGGACAAAATAATTTATGAGTAGTAGTATATAGCTTTATTTCATTTATTTTCTCTTTTTAATATGATTTTTTTGGTAGTTACTTTTTAAATTTATAGGTACTTTAATTTTTTTTAATATTATATATAATTATGTGTAAATAACTTCATGTTTGACCATTACAATATTACAGCTACAGAAACATATGATTGATTATGCTTCTAAAATGGTCAACATTTTGCTTCTAATATATATATAGATATATATATATATATATATATATATATTAATGTATATATTGTAATTTGTAGCTTAGTGATATAATTTATGAAAATTCAAACCACCATGAAGCAAATTTGAGTTTTTTTTTTTTGTTAGAAATAAACATATATATGAAATTTCAAATTTTCATTTGGTTTTAATTTTTCAAAAAGAAAATTTTCAAAAGTGGAAATAAAATTAAAGTTTATAAAAAATAGGTATATTTATAAATATTTATTTTAACACTTCTCGTATGATTTTGTTTTCAAAGATGCATTTGACAATAGAGAATTTTGAACGTTCCTCTTTTATTTTTCTTCTGAAATAAGAAATCATTATCGGAAAACAAAAGCTAAATCAAATAATATCTTGCTAGATTGGTGTTATGATATTTTTCAAGCACCTATTATATTACTACCAAATTTAGAAGCATAATGCTTACACCCAAAAAATAATAATAATAATAAATAAATAAATAATAGTTTCAATTTATATATATTTGTTTTTGGCAATGACTTACCTGCCAATTTTGTTCATTTGAAAACTTAAACTTTCAACTTTTTATTTTTATTTTTTTAAAAAAAACAACAACAACATTGAAGTGCAAGCTCCTTGTAAATTTAAATCATTTTGCTAAGCTAAATAGATAAAAATATGAAGAACTGAGTTATTTTTGTTTCGGGTTTACTTATTTATTTATTATTTCATGCATTTCTAGATTATATTGGCTTGTTATATGTTTAAACGAGATTAGGTTTGGATTGGTTTGATTTATTGAAATAAATAAGATTTAGATCATAAAACCTATTCCCTTTTTTATTCCTTAATGTTTGAAAATTTTAAATAATATGGGACAAAGAAAGAATTATTTTGTAACACTTTACGGTTTCTTAATAGAAGTATTTTTTTTAAAAATAAAAAGAAATCCTGGCAAATTAGGGGTGGGGGACTCGAACACGGACAAACCTACTTAAGGAGTTAGGCCGGAACAGCTCAATATAATTTGAGGTGTTAGGTAGAAAAAAATAAAATGACCTTTTAACAAAATATATCCATATGTTTGTGTTAGTGAATACGCTCATTAATTGTTTCATCTATAGTTTCATCATTAGTTAATTTGTTTGTGATATATAGCAGACACATTCAATAATATAAATAAAAATGATGATAACTCACAAACAAAATATATGATTTTATGATAACAAAAATTAGTAAAACTATAAAATAATTTAAATTATAGAACAATAGAAACTGATTTTGAATAATTTATTCCAATGCTCCAACAAATTTTTCCACACAATAAAAATGTATTCAAAATCTTCTGACCAAATGAGATAGTGAAATTGTAAATTGTAAGAGTAAAAAAAATACGTTTAAATGAGAAAGGATGAAAATTATGTGAGGAATAAAGAAAAAAAAAAACTTAATAAGAGTTTTAGAAAAATATAGAAAGTTTCACAAATTTCTACAGGAATAAATATGTATGTACTTGATGTACTGAGGATGAGAGAGAGAAAAAAAAAAAAATGTATAGTTTTCTCTTTTATTCCATACTTATTTACTCCAAAAAAAAGGGTGATATAAAGATTAAAATATTTTGAGCCTATTATTACATTTCTTTGTTGCTTAAAGTTTAATAATAGAAGAAAATAAAAGTTTTAGGTAGGTTATACAATATATAAAGAAATATTTTTTTGGGCCTTGAAGAAAAAGAAGTGAAAAAAGATAGAAATATTTTATGCCCAAAAAAGGTGAAAAATGATAGAAAATAATTTTTTTTTTAAAAATTATAATATATAAAGAAATTAATAAAATTAAGGCCTTCTTATTAGTTGGGATTTTAGACGACTACCTAACTCACCTAAGCCTATGCCTGGAGCTAGTAGACGTATCTTGAAAGAATGGGAATTTTTTATTTATTTTTGCTTAAAACATACAACAAATATTCTATCAATTTAGATACAACTAAAATTTAAAGCCATTTTAAAACCAATGGCTTATCAATATTGTGGTATATATAAACTAATGGTCATTATATATATTTAATATTTTTAAATAACATATATTTGGTTTGACCATCAAAGAGTCCCATTTCAGATAGAAAGTTGAGGGGTTTGAGACAAAATGAAGTATGTGTTTTACCTAAAACAAAAACAAAATAAAAACAAAAAAACAAAAAAACAAAAAAACAAAGAAAAAGGATGGCATATTCGGTTTTAGTTGAGCAACATCGCATAACCTAGCTGGATTTAACACGAAGTTGAAAAGTTCCAGTCTAATGCCGCCTTGTGCAGGAAATGACGAATTTGTCCAGATACGGATTTAAATTCAAGTTGCATGTACCTAGTCAAAGTTGCATGCACTAAAAGAGCTAGAAGAAATAAATGAAACGACACATTTTACTCCGTATCTTAAAAGACCCAATGCCAAACAGTACTTTAATTGAAACACTTTTTATTATAAAGTAGTTCATGCTCTATGGTTAATCATTTCAAAGCTTAAAGTTAGCTCAATCGATAGGTTAGATGAGGACCTCAAACGACAAAAGTTATGTAATGAGTACAAAATAACCATTATTTTTTATTTTTACTTTTTTCATTTTTAAACTAATGATTATATGCTAAGATGAGAAAATTTCAAGCGGGGTGATCTTCACAGTGCAAGACTCAACTTGAGTTGTGACGCTTAGTTTTGCAATCAAACTCGGCTAGTGGTTCGAGAACTGAACCCGTCTCATCATAAGTGATCATGCTCGAAGACTTGAGAGTACAACAAGAATGATCGAAGCCGATGCATGCCATCAGCACCATCAGCCCTAGCCAGGGGGCCGTGGATAAAAGAAGCACAAGACCGATCCAAGCCAACCAACTGGATCAACTTTGCCCACGTCTACTCTCGTGTGAAATCAACTAAAGCACAAGATCTCTCTCCGAGCTAACAAGACAAATTGACGAAAAACTGGTTGCTTGTTTGATAACTCAAGTCAGACTTGATCGTGCCACCACATCCCTTGTTGGGCTCACGAAATCCTATCAAATCAAGTCAGAACCACTCCTTTACTCGAGAAGTCATTTTGGCCCTACAATCTCTCATCTCGGCCTTATATGAGACACATATCCAACTCTTCATCAGCATAAATAGAACGTATTTCTGAAGGAAAAAGGGTCCTGGCGCCAACCAGACTTTAATATTTGTTGTTTCATCTTATACTTTCATTTACACTTAATTTATGTTTATGGCCTTCATTTCAAACTTGTAATATTTATGTTATGTTTAGGAGTACTGAATCGGTGTCTTAGATTTGGAATTAGAGAAATTTTAGTTCAAACTTTGTACTAAATTTCCTCAAATTCCAAACTCAATGTGCTAACATTAATGTAGGTCACTCTTTGTTTTCATGTCCTTCTAACATTAGCGTAAGCTTGTAGCACCTAGCTTGACCTTTCCATGATAGTTATTCCTTGTAAGTAAGGGTGGCAAATGGGCGGGTTAGGTCGGGTTTGAGTTGGATTGAAAATTGATGGGTCCATATGAGTCAAGATCCATATTCAACCCGTTCACAACGGATTAAAAATGGGCAGGGTCAATCAGTTATGACCCGTGGACCCATTAATTATTATTTTTAATTTTTAATTATTATTTTAAAAATTTTAATTACTTTTTTAATTTTTTAATTTATTTTTATTTTTTAATTAAAATTATTTTTTATTTTTAAAATTTTTATTTCGAAAGTTTTTAAAACGAAAAAATTAAAGATGATTGTGCATTTCTTTGTATTAAATTCTTAGATGCTTACATAATTTATTGTTTTTTTTTTATAATAAATTCCTGTAAAATTTTAGAGTGCATGGCTATATGCTATATACGGCTACAAAATGATTTTTTTTTTTTTTACTTACTTACCAAAGATATATATATTTATATATACATACAAAATGGTAAGTAAAAGTAAAAGTGGACTTGTTTTTGTAGGTGCATCCCTTATCTAATCATTTAAGACGTGGAAACTGCAAGATATGGGGGACTAAATACTTCGATATGCATGGTTATCTGGATGAGTCGTCTTATAAGAATTCCATTTTGATAATATAATGCAAAAAGATGGAGAAGGAAATTTATTTAATTAATTGTATTTAAAGTTTCTTGATTAATAAATATTGTGTCAAACTCATACCACGTGTAAGTCCATGTACATATTCAGCACATATTATTTTTATTTATTTTTAATTTTTTATTTATTTTTAATTTTTTTTCTGAAGTTTTTAATTTTTAATTTTTTAATTTTTAAAAATTATTTTTAATTTTTTTAATTATTTATTTTTTTTAGAAGAAATTTTAGAGAGAGGGGATTGATGAGATACAAATTTAGAGAGAGAGAGGATTGTGAATGAGAGAATTTTAGAGAGAGAAATAAGTTGAGTGCAATATAGAATAGATGTGTGTTATGTGTTTATTATGTGATGGGTGAAATATACCATATTCAATCCATTTTGACCCTCAAATTAAGTGATTAAAAATTACCCAACCCATCTTGACCCTCAAATTATATATAGTTCACCCATAACCATTAAGAAGCGGGAGGATATGGACGAGTTGATGGTTTCTGACCCATTTTGTCATCCCTATTTGTAACACTCAGTTGTTTAGGTTATTCTTCCATTACTCAAGCTTATAATTAAGAGTGACAATTCATATTTACAGGTTATAATCATGTCATGTCGGGTTAAATGATATTTTACTAAATAGCTCAATCCGAATATAACC